GGTGGCGAGCTCACTCAACTAGAGGTGTTGCATCCTCCTGGGTGCTGGCTCATGGACGGAGGAGCCTGTTGAGATCCTCCGTCCCCTTGGCAGCCAGACGTGGCGGAGCGTCCAGCGCCAGGCCTTCACTCGTTGAATCCTCGAGAACTGGTAGAAGGCTGGGTTCTATATGTAAGACCTAAGTTCCAGGGGCTCTGGCAGTGGATTCTGCAGCACTAAATCTGCCACCAGGTTCTGGCCCACTTTCGGCACACCCAGGATCTGCAGGCGACCAAATCACACCTTGTTAGTACTGCGAGTCATGCGTACGTTCATTCAGATTACATATGTACAAGTACAAACTGTTTACCTTCAGTAAGCAACTGGGGACCCTCCTGATTCAGTATGGCACTAATTAGGCCCACAGTGAATTAATGCTGCCTTCACATGCTATCTAAAATTACCTGCTTACCACTTCTGAAGCCTAAATATGAGTTTGTCACATTCAAGTGCTTTGCTGTAAGAAAAAATAGGAATCATGAAGGACGACAGGTTCATTCTTGCCTTTTTATCGAGGAAATCTAATTGATGCCAAATGTATTTAAGATTTGTAGTCAATATCCAATGCATTTTGAAGAAACTAGGGTAAATCCATGACTGTAATGGCAAGAAGCAAGCAATGTACGTTGAAGGAAAAACAAATAAAACTTTGTTGTGTTTAAAGTTCATGGCACGCCCAACATGGAAACTCAAGTATCAAAAGTTTCCCAGTCGTAAATATGACTTGACAGGCCAATTTCTGACTAGGATACTCGTATTTATGATAATTCCGATTGCAAGTAAAGGCAGCATGAAGCCAGAATGATTTGAAAATGTGTAGTTTTATATTAACACAATCTAAGTGTTTGTTGTGTAAAATAATGTTTTTTTACTTTTAATCTCTGGGACATTTAATTAACTACAAAATAATTTAATAGAAAAATGTTATTACGGGGTGGTTGCTACTTGCTAGGGAGTTGCTAAGGTGGTATGGATGACTTTTCTGAGTAATTGCTGCTGTTGATTTTGGGATATCCATCAATCTAATCTGTTAGAAAAAAATGTTTGTTAGTGGCATCAGAATAGGCTGTAGGTCTGTACAAAGTTTGGTGAATCTTGCTTGAAAATTCTTGGAGCAGTATACTGTACAATATTTTTGGTGTCTTTTTAGGGATAAATACACTATTCTGCACAATAACAGTATATTAATTTTGTCAAGTCAGCATACTGTAAATGTAAGTTGTAGAGCTCAGTATAATGAAATCAGAAGATTAGATTTACATTGATGATTATTTCAGGGGCATCAAGTAAGATGGTCTTCTTTGCTCTGTAAAAGTCCTGTTTCTCTGTATCGATGAGTAAAGCCACCGGTTTGATCATCCTGTCTTGAGTTATGGCTTTACTGTACTCTGCATACTCGAAGAGTTACTTTACACCCTGAAACATAAAACAAGATGACACAGAGTTACCTTTATGAATATACTGTATGTCTGTGTGTATGTATAAAAGTCTTAGGCCATTAGTATTTTCAACAAAAACAACAAAAAATGGTTTTAAGACAGTTATTTATGTCTTTTGCTGTAGTGTGTCAGTAGGAAATATCAGTTTACATTACCAAACATTCATTTTGCCATTAATTGTAATAATCCAGTGAGATTTTTGTATGAACAGCAGCCAGTGCTGCACACAGAGATCTGATCTCATCATCATCCAGTCTGTCTGAGATTACATTAAAAAACGAAGAAACTGAGACAGACTCAATCCAGAAGAAATGTGGCAACGTCTCCAAGATGCTTCAAGAAACCTTCCTGCAGAGCTACCTGAACACAAAGGGCGGTCGTAGCAAATGATGATTTAATTTAGTTAATAGAAGTTAATTAATAAATAAAATCTATTTGACAATGTTTTTGAAAGCATCCTCACTTTACAGCATTTTCAAATTTTTACAAGTGCCTAAAACTTTTCACAGTACTGTAGCTTTGCAGGCAGGTTTCTTCAGGCGTCTTGGAGACGTTCTCCAGGATTTAGTCTGTCTCAGTTTTTTTTCAGTTTCTTCATATTTGGTTATGTAAACTGATATTTCCTACTGACACACTACAGCAAATTATAGAAATAACAGGCTTAAAACCATTTTTTGTCGGAAAATACTAATGGCCTAAGACTTTTGCACAGTACTTTATATACATATGCATATACAAAATATACAGTAAATTCAAAATGTAAGGAACCAGGCTCACCTTCAGAAGAAGCCAAATTCATCTCTGTAAACTCGCCCAATCCACAGGTTTCACCAAGTGTGCCATTGTAGGACACCGCTTGGGCATAGAACATGACCCGCCAGGACTTTGTGACCATGGTGTTATTTTTGAGCTCTGCGTAGACATCAAAATCAGAGCCGATCTGCATGTCCGGGGTCACTCTGACCTTGATGTGTAAACAAGTGGATAAGTGGAGTGCAAACGGTAAAAGGTCTTGAGGCAGGTGTGACACACTCTATTACGGATTAAAAGTGTAAGTGAGAGTAAACAGGGAGAGATGCAGAGACAGGTGAAAAGCATTTGGTTTATAGTGAATATTGATCTATTGTGCGTACCGTTGTGGCTCCCGCTGTTAGCAGGGGATAATTGCTACATTTGGGGTAAAAAAGACATAATTATGTATTGTGCCAAGAAGGTTGCACTGTCTGTTCGTTCACACAGGTACGAAACTGATTGGTAGCTGCCTTTAGGGAGCCTTTACCGATTACCTCCATTGATCAGAGCATTCGGCATGGTCGTCTGTAAGTGACGTCACCTCCCAACACAAACACGCCCCCTAGTATAGCTCCGCCCCCTCACATTGATTGGCAGCTTTCCATGTAGACGTCGGAAATGCAAATGCAAAAGGAATTGCGATTCCATTTGAGTTTTGGCAGGTTACATGCGCGACGCAGCGAGAGTGAAAAAGCAGACGTGGTAGTTAATATTGCTATTTAAATATGACAGGCTCGTAACTCCTAAGACATGGGAAATACAGTTGCAAATGGACTTTGCTTTTTCATTTGAAATTTGGCAGTCACTGTGCGTTCGCGAAAGCGAAAATGCAAACGGTAATGCAGGATTTGCAATTGCATTTGGATTATGTCACAATTTATGCGTCCACATATTGAAAACGCAATTGAAAATACAATTTGCTATTCTATTTGAAAATTGTCCGGAATATCGTTCCATATAAATGAGCCTTGGCCCAGAGAAAATGCCTGCGCTTCTGGATCATGTTTAGATATGGCTTCTTTTTTGACCTATAGAGTTTTAGCCGGCAACGGCGAATGGCACGGTGGATTGTGTTCACCGACAATGTTTTCTGGAAGTATTCCTGAGCCCATGTTGTGATTTCCATTACAGTAGCATTCCTGTATGTGATGCAGTGCCGTCTAAGGGCCCGAAGATCACGGGCATCCAGTATGGTTTTCCGGCCTTGACCCTTACGCACAGAGATTGTTCCAGATTCTCTGAATCTTTGGATGATATTATGCACTGTAGATGATAATAACTTCAAACTCTTTGCAGTTTTTCTCTGAGAAACTCCTTTCTGATATTGCTCCACTATTTTTCGCCGCAGCATTGGGGGAATTGGTGATCCTCTGCCCATCTTGACTTCTGAGAGACACTGCCACTCTGAGAGGCTCTTTTTTATACCCAATCATGTTGCCAATTGACCTAATAAGTTGCAAATTGGCCCTCCAGCTGTTCCTTATATGTACATTTAACTTTTCCGGCCTCTTATTGCTACCTGTCCCAACTTTTTTGGAATGTGTAGCTCTCATGAAATCCAAAATCAGGCAGTATTTGGCATGACATTTCAAAATGTCTCACTTTTAACATTTGATATGTTATCTATATTCTATTGTGAATAAAATATAAGTTTATGAGATTTATAAATTATTCCATTCCTTTTTTACTCACAATTTGTACAGTGTCCCAACTTTTTTGGAATTGGGTTTGTATATATTTGCACATATTTTCAACTAAAAGAAAACATATAATGTATAATGGAAGACGTATAATGGAACATTGTTGTAGAAGAACATTGTTGTGTATAATGCCTAATCATAAGCTTGTTCAAAAATGGTGACGACAACTTGATTATTAAAAAATAACATCTGTCTCGTTAAATGTCATTTAAATAAACAAATATTAGAATATTCATTTTTTTATGAGCCCAAATTGCCCATTCCTAAGTTTATGGATTCCCTTTTGGGAATTGAACTTGCATTCAACCTAGATCCTCAACCATGAATGAATGAAGTACCCAGAATGCCTCCCTACTCTCTGGATACTTGCAGTTGTGTGTAATGTCCTCTCTCTCATCTCGACCCACTGCTTTGGTGCTGATGGATTTCCCAACCTCCGTAGTGGATCCGCCCATCTTAAACACTCTTCCATCTCTCAGTTTGATGTACTCCACCACATCAGCATTCACCTTGGCGTACACGAATGGGATGTCGTATTTGAAAGTGAGCTCGCCCTCTTTAATGGCTCTCACTGGGGCAGGACCACAACAGAAGACGCCTGACAGAAGAAGGACAGCAGAACTGAGAAACTTCTTCATTGACTCTACTTCTCCACTTCTATCAGGCATTGCTTTTTGGCTCACCGTCACTCCTATGCTGAGGTGTTGGGTCACTCGCTTGCCAGCCCTCGTATCCGAGCGTGAGGTCTGGACGTGTCATCCTGTTCTCCACCCAAACGTGGAAGTTCCTGAGGACGGACAAGGGACGTTTGCATTAAACTCTTAATAATAAAAGTTCCAAAAGGCGGGATTTGCAGGTGATAGAAAAAGTATTTTGGGTTCCACAAAGTGAACAGTTCAGTGAACAGTTCTTAAAAGAACAATATTTTTTTCTTTGTGTGAAGAATATTTTAATAATCTGACAAACCATTTGCCACTATAAAGAACCTCTTGTGCAATGCAAAGTTTAATGGATGTACTTCATCTAAGGATTTTCATGGATCCAAAGATGCCAATAAAAAGTTTAACTTTTATCATGTTTAATTTTGGCTTTACAATGCATACCATATGGAGTCGTCAGCAATGTTCTCATCAAATTCGTTGTAGAAACGCTCCATTATTAGGTCTCCATTGCTGTCACGTGCTGATCCAAAGTTAGTGCCGACTCTGCATGGGATTCCCAGAGCTCTGGACACTGGAAGATGAATTAAACAGAAAATTCAGATCTGGTTTTTATCATATCTGATACAAGGGCGTTTCTAGCCTTTCATCAGTACTGGGGCACAGGTCCCCCATCAGTAGTGTGCCCATATTTTGATACTCCTTTTCAATCCTGTTTGGATATAAATTGTCTTTACATTTGTTACACAGTCGTTCACAACCGCAAGCTCAATAAAGAGCTGCTCTGTCACTGACAAATAATAGAAAACAGTTTGCATGTTTTGTTGGTAAATGATGAATCAAACTGAATTGCAAACAGTTTCAGACCTTTTTGCAAACCCATTTGACCAATTACTTAAAAAGAGTGATTCATCTGGCACCAATAGTTCTGATTCTAAACAGCGAATAGAAAACACACATGACTTGATTGCTGAAATATTTTTAGAGAAAATGATTCTCAGGACGGTATACGTCTGTCCTATTGATGCATAAGATTTATCAGTAATAAATGTGACGCCCCAGATCTGAGATAATATGAGAAAATGATTGGGAAGAGTTTAAATAATTGGGACATATTAAGGAATGGGCCTTAAACAACACAAAGTAAACATGATTCCCGAAAAGTGAAGGTTGGAGCAGCTGTCTTTCCATACGGTGGGCTTTACGCCATCCTCATAGTCACCTGACCAGTTACCTGCCAGAACTCCTTTATCACCTAGACTGTAGTGAAGGACAATACAAGACAACATGGCGGTGAGTTTCACATTTGAAAGCAACTCTCAGCATGTGATAATAATGTTATTATGCTGCTAGACTAATATACAACTAGATCATGTTGTTTAAGTCTCAAAATAAACAGTTTGATAGTGTTGCTTAGAGTAATATTTGAGGGCTGTTACTAACCATGGCACTGAGGACTCGAGTCACATAAACGGGGTTCCTCCTCTCGGAACAATCCAGAGCTGCGTCACTCATATAGTTTGGACTTTCATCTAAAATCTGCAGACAGATGTCCAGTATGCCAGGCTCGAACTGTGGAAACAGAAACCAAACATATCAGTGAAGCATTAATTATTTTGAAGCTAATACCTTCTGAATGTTTTATTGGCTGCTTGGGACAGTAAAAATTATTGAATTAAAGCCAGTCAAATTAGTTTATGCTTTTAAAATAGATTCTGATGAACAGGTTGCTACTATGAAGCAATCATAGAGATGTTTTGAAATGCAGAACCTGTCCAAAAATCCACGGTAAAACTGTGATACGTTTGGGTATCCCGCGGTAGACCAGCCCGTCCTGAGAGATGACGTATTCCTCCCGTTCAGCTTCACCCGCCAGATACACGGAGTCCTCTGAAACAACCAACACAGAAAATATTAATTTGAATGTGTTTATTGTTAGATTTGATCAAAAGTGACTTATAACTAGTGAGAAATACAAATGCAAACAATATTAGCAGTGGCACGATTACAAACGTTAGAATCAAGTCTACATAAAAATGGCATTTGACAGAAATTAGTGGACGGGTTTATAAAATTCTGCTCATTTGCAAAAATGTAAAACTTTCCTTCATGTACAGTTTTTCACAAAATAAGAATGGCAATTTTTCATATGATATATCAGCTTTACTACACTTATCAAATAACAAAAGCAGTCAAACGTATCATACTTTACAATCTGCAAAGGAGTGAAAAAATATATTCAAATACTTAATACATAAATAAGCTCTCTCTCTCTCTCTCTCTCTCTATATATATATATAGATTGATTGATTGATTGCCACTGTAATTTTCTGTGGCTGTAGTAAAAAACCCACATGTGCAGAAAACATCTGGCTCATGTTTGCATTTTCTTCTTTCATTGGCTATAATCCTAACCTTCAATCAGGTTTATATAGGCATGAAATAATGTCATACATGAGAAAATGAGCTGAGATTTGAACAAGTAGTTGTAATCTGGCTCAGAGAAAGAACGGAATTGTGTTTGTAGCAGTATTTCTGCTGATTAAGAGATAATACAGTTGTGCTCAAAAGTTTTGCAGAATCTGCAAAAGTGTGGTGCACTTTTAACAAAATTAAAGGGATTGAAAAAATTGCATGTTATACACTCTTAAAAATAAAGGTGCTTCACGATGCCATTAAAGAACCTTTTTGTCTAAATGGTTCCATAAAGAACCTTTAAAGTCGGCATGAAACGGAAGTTGCGATTGTCTTTTCTTCTTTGCTGTGACGTATATCCGAGTGAAATGGCATCTTAGATGAAAGGGCAGGACTTGATTTCGTCCTTCTGGAATTGATTGGATCGTTGGAAGTTGGGGCATGGCAAACAAAATGGAGGCAGATCTAAGATGCCAGTTTGCAGTTAGTGGTGGGGGATTTCTCTCCACTGGATTCACAGCCGACACCCAAGCATGAATAAATCTTTTCATTTATTTATTTAGGATGACGACAACGATTAACGGCACAAAACATTCCTAAACAGCACCCGACTTTAGAAATGTTTTCCTAAAAAAAGTAGTTTGCGATGTCCTAAGAATAATGTTGTTGTAATATCCTAATATCTTTTCAATGTTTGGGGGGGGGGTTAACGTTTTTGATTAAAGATTACAAGGGCACATGAATTAAAAAAAAAATAATGAAGTGCACGGATAAATTATTTATAATAAACACTACAGTATTCCATTAAAAAATAAGAATTTAGAAAAATTTTGATTTCATGGTAACTTTAACATCTTTCGACACCCAAAGCACCAGCTCCGAACCAGGAAAAATGGTTCGTAAGTAGCACCAAAACATTGCTGGTCTAGAAGTAAGAACCACTTGCGTCAGGGACAGGGGCGGGGATACCGTGACCAACAAGATGAACAGAAACTTTTGACTGACATTTTTGAAATAGCAGCTAAACACAAACACATTGTGGCGCCAGGGCGCCGCAGCATAAATGGCTGCCCACTGCTCCGGGTGTGTGTTCACGGTGTGTGTGTGTTTACTGCTGTGTGTGCACTTAGGATGGGTTAAATGCAGAGCACTAGTTCCTAGTATGGGTAACCATACGTGGCCACATGTCACGTCACTTTTACTTTTTCACTTTCATTGAATTCGCCATGTTTGGATGACGATGTAGGTTCGCATAGCCATGAACATCGATAGCAATGCAACATCCGCCATTGTTAATGGTGTGTTTAGGCTTGTTCGGGCTGCATCGGCACTGCATGGACCGGTCGGTGTGCCACAGGAGTTATTGGAAAGTAGACGACTCACTTTGTCCTTTTGGATCGCTTTCACGGTGCTTTGGTGTCATGCGCCGATCGGTTTGCATGAACAAGCCTGTTGTGTTTGGCACTGCCATGCTAGCATTACTGGGAAAGATGAGACGTATTCAGTGACGTAAGACCTGGCTTTGTGGTGGCTCTCTAGCCCATGGAAAGGCAAACCGGTTCTTAGAAGGCTCGCCAGTTGAACCAACTGCGAACCGGTAATAGCACTGGCTCTGAACTAGCACCTGGTTCATGCTGGTGGAAAAGGGGTATGTTTCACAAAAGGTTCTTTGTGGTGAAAGAAGGTTCTTCAGATTTTAAAAAGGTAAGAAAGAGATGGTTCTTTAAAGAACCTTTGACTGAATGGTTCTTTGTGGAACCAAAAATGGTTCTTCTATGGCATTGCTTGAAGAACCTTTTGAAGCACCTTTATTTTTAAGAGTGTAGTACTGTCCTAAGATATTTCACATACTGTAAGAGATGATTTACATATGTCCACTAGACACTTATTTTGTCTTCTAAGTATCTTCTGTAGATTCTGAAGGGCAGAACTAAATGATAAAATGTGATATTTAAACAAAATAAGAAAAACGTACACTTCAACATCCTGTTTAAAAGTTTTTACCCCCCAGATCCTCATGCATTGTATTGTGTTTGAATCCATTAATTGTGCTCAGTGCGAAAGATGGATCTGATGAAATCATACAGGCAAAGGGTTCAAATACGCAAAAGATGCTGGAAAACCAAAGAATGTGAGGGACATAAAGGATTTTTCCGAAGGACCTCTGTAAACCTTAGAACAGAGTCTTTTCCCCCCCCAGCTATTATTTTGTCTAGTGGACTATATGTAAACATCTCTTATGTGAAATAGCTTATTCAGGACGGTACAAAATATGAATAACATGCAATTTTTTCAATCCCTTTTATTTTGTTAAAAGTTCTCCACATTTTTGCAGATTCTGCAAGGGTATGTAAACTTTTGAGCACAATAAGAAAGCAAAAGCAAAAATGCTACAAAAAGCATCATATTTTTTGTGAAAAAGTGTGACATTCTTGATCAGACTATTGCAATATGTTTTTTAATCAGCACCCCAAAATGAGTAAGAAACAAGTGTTGGATTTCATTCAGCAAATATGATGCAGGGCGGTGTAATATTATACACATTGTGCTCAGAATGACCAAAAAAAAAAACAACAACAAAAAAAAACGTATCTGATCGTTTACACTAAAACGTGTATGAAAAAAAATCCTGTTTTAACACAGACATATTTGCTGTTCAGACTGCCAATAAAAAAAAACTGAATTATGCACAAAGCCGGAGTCATTTCCATTGTTTGTTCCTGCTAAATTATGTGCTTCTCATTATCGGTCACCAATGACAAAACAGCTTACTTTTGCACCAGGGGTTAAAGAGCAGGACAAACTCTGCTAGACTGACTCCTTCTCCCTGATCCAGGATCAGCTTATCGACTCCAATATGAGCATTTGACTGCGAGCACACAGTCAGAAACGTGTATGAAAAAAAATCCTGTTTTAACACAGACACATTTGCTGTTCAGACTGCCAATAAAAAAAAAACTGAATTATGCACAAAGCCGGAGTCATTTCCATTGTTTGTTCCTGCTAAATTATGTGCTTCTCATTATCGGTCACCAATGACAAAACAGCTTACTTTTGCACCAGGGGTTAAAGAGCAGGACAAACTCTGCTAGACTGACTCCTTCTCCCTGATCCAGGATCAGCTTATCGACTCCAATATGAGCATTTGACTGCAAGCACACAGTCAGAGACACAATGCTGTCAGACGTCTCTGCTGTGGCACTCCAGCTTGATCTGCAGATGAATCTACTGAGGCTGAATTTGGCTTTGGTGTGTGCGTCCGCTGAGGGGATCGGACCTGAAATACAACAGACATGAATGGATGAACACAAGTATCTTAAATGTGACATGCATGTTTTGAAGCCTTTACATCGTGTTTCTAATAGTAAACTTGTGAATGATCTGATGACTGTGTGCAGCGTTACTGTCGTGCCTTTCAGCACTGTAAATCCTCTAAATACAAGAGTAACTTCACTGTCATGCGACGCCCCGTAATTAAACCAGCTCTGATTTATTGTAAGTGTTTTAACAAGTCATTAACAATGACTCAGTGCCCTGCATGCATGCTTTTTGGTGTGAATGATTTATCAGTGGCTTCATTACTATTTCATTAGTATTTATTTTTTCAGCTGACATCACCGAGCCTGTTAGACCTCAGTGGTGGATTCTTATTGTAAAAGTTTATGTATGAATTGTTGTTGTACTATTATTTTTTTTGCACATATACTGTACATTCACACATTTCCCCCCCATTTTTTCCATTGACAGCCATATTGTATATGTGAATTTTTTTTTTAATATATATATATACACAGTATATATATATATATATATATATATATTAAATATATACTATAAGGCACTTACATCTTCTAAAATATAATTATTATAATTTAAATAAATGAAATATTTGTGTTTTTTTATATATATGGTGACAAATCTGGTATGATATAATTAAAAATAATAATTATATGTTGCCTTTTTTAATATAATAATAAATTGTCAATACATGGCTAGTTCTTAAATGGCCATCAATGGAAAACAATTTCTTTAACTTGGTTGACCTTCCTGAAGTCGTTACAGAACCGGAGGGTGTTGTCCGGCTTTGGAACCATCACGATGGGGCTGGCCCACGGGCTACGGGAGGGCTCGATGATTCCTAGTTGGAGCATCTTCTTGACTTCCTCTATAGCCGGCCGGCGAGCTTCCGGTATCCGGCAGGGCCGCTGCCGGACTACGACTCCGGGTGGTGTGCGGACCTCGTGCTCGATGACGGTGGTTCTACCCGGGGTCTCACTGAACACATCCCGGAACTGACTGACCAGGGCCTCAAGCTCCGTTTTCTGGGTCGCCGACAGCTGCGGTTCCATGTCCACTACCGGAGGCCCGGTATGGGCTAGCGTGGCCAGTTGCTCGGGCCAGGGAACCCACTTTTTTAGCAAGTTGACGTGGTAGATTTGCTCCATCCGTCGGCGGCCCGGTTGCCGCACCCGGTACGTCACCGGTCCCATCCGTTCCACTACGGTGTAGGGACCCTGCCAGGTCGCCAGAAACTTGCACGCAGCTGTCGGGACCAGTACCACCCCTCGATCTCTCGGCTGGAACTCCCGGGCCTGGGCGGACCGGTCGTACAGCCATTGCTGGGCATGCTGGGCGGTCACGAGATGTTCCTTAACCAGCGGCATGACCCGGTCTATCCTTTCCCGCATCTCCCGCACGTGCTCGACGAGGCTACGAAGGGGGGCGGGCTGGTTCTCCCAGCTTCCCGAGCCACGTCTAGAAGGCCCCTGGGCTGTCTCCCAAACAGCAGTTCGAAGGGGGTGAAGCC